CTATCTAGCCCGTGCCGCGTGTAGCCGCGCGGCACAGGGTTCGAACAAGCCGGCATTTTAAAATGGCGCCATCCGGCTTATGCAAATGAAGCCCGGGAAATTCAAATCCCGGGCTTCATTTGCAAGTGCGGTATGCCTACATTACCCCGCTAGTTCGAACTAGCGGGGTAGTGTAGACATACCCTGACTGAGTTTCTGAAATCTTCAAATCATGTCTTCTTTTTGTTTATGGTAATGTCTCACTTCAGTTGCAGGTGATACTGTTTGATTTCTGGCGGATACAGCCTGAAAATAATTGTTGCATTTATATGTGGATTTTTAATTAATTTTTTCATCTAATCTAATATTTATATTGCACTAATGCCCAGAGTCTGCAATTAGAATTAAAGCTCTGTTTTGCTAGGTGCTGTGTAAACACACAGGAAGACATGGTCCTTGCCTTGCAGAGTTTACAGTGTAAGCCCTGATTCTGACAAAACTTGTGTTTGTGAATGACATTTTACATGTCAGTAGTCCCTCTGAGCTCCAGTGCATAAAGTTACTCATATATGTTGTTAGGGATGTTAGATATCGTGTAATTGAATACTCGTGTAACCATATGAAATCTTAGCGATTACATGACTATTCAATAGCCCCAGGGGGCGGGGCTGGCAGCCAGTGTGCTCCCCGCCCCATTGCTGGGGATCCTACTGATGGGGAGCCCCCATGCTGTATCAGAGGCAGCAGCACAGGGTGGCAGGCAGAGCTGGTCTGCAAGGGGAGCCAGTTTAAAAACCAGCTCCCTGCGCAGATGGGGGATACAGAGGCAGCAGCCTCTGTCTGCAGGGAGTCAGAGCTCCCCATGTGTATTGGCTCCAGCCTGCCATCTACACTGCTGCTTCTCTTCTACAGTATGCTGCAGTATTTTATCTTTAAAAATCAACTGTAAACGTAGATATTTTTACAGTGAATCATGCTACATTTGTTTCTTTTTCCTCAGTTCTGAAATATGAATTATGTTAGTTTTTATTACAGTTGCATAATATTTATACCAATGTAATAACATGGTTCACTAAAACAAAACATTGAGCTCTGCCATATATTTAGTAATCCCATTAACCTAGTTAATTTACTAGCCTAAGCCACAATGTCCTAGTCAAATGGGTACAAATCTGATTGATTATAATTTTGCACGTGCATTACCTAATATGTATGCTTTTGATTCTG